CTAGTCTGGCAGCATGAACATCAGTATTAATCAAAAGAGGAAGCTTCCTAGAAGGATGGACCTGACTTTATTTTAATTTAATTTATTTTATTTTATATTAGGAGGATTGGTTTAAGGGAAGGAGAAGAATGGGAGGTGAAGATTATAGGAAAGAAAAATTTTACCTAGCAATAGTAGGAGATAGTATCAAGTGTTTCCTGGGAGCTACAGAGCTGTTTTTTTTTTTAACAACCTCACTATAGATTCCGGATGAAACACATTTCTGATCCTTTAATAATTTAATTTCAGTTACATTTAGTCTGATAACATATTATCACTGAATATAAGGCTAAACAAAATCCATGGAATATTTGAGTGAAAATGAAAACTTGCTTAAAAAATAGGGTGGCATAAATTAAGAGATTAAAGGGCACAATAAAGGCATTGCTCCAACGCCCACCTCTTTCCTGATGTGACTCATAAATAACTTGGACACTCATGGTCTTAGTCCAAAATCAAACTTATGATCACTGCCCTCACAGCTGAAATTTCTAAATCCACTAAAGAAGCTTGCTCCTGAGTAACAAGCTTGGAATTCATCCTCTAGGAATTGGCTAATTTTAAATATCAAGACAAGCATGTTAAGTATTATTATTTTGATAAATATTTCAGATGTCTAAGTACATTACTTCTGTGGAACAAAAATGTGACAAAAAGCTCAAGGCAGAAAGGATTCTGAATACTTTGGGTAGAAGCTCCAGGCTGAGCTGAGTTTTGGTAGGTTTTGGTCTGAACAGAAACACCACAGACAAGGCACACAACCTTCACTAGGTTCACGTACTTGTTGAAAAGCTGGTGTGTTTTAGAAACTTTGTTTTATTTATTTTTGATTACCACATGTTTGAATGCATTCATCATGGAAACTTGGTACATGTGTATCACACCTTAATCCTTCCCCGCATCGTCTCCATCCATCCCCACATGCACCTCCCACCTTCTAAAGGTCTACTTCCCTGTTACTCTTAATAAATCTTTCATTTAAATTATTTATATACTTTGGGCTCCTCCTATAAAGGAATGATGTGATACTTCACGTACGCGTGTCTGATTTGTTTGGTGTTATGGTCTTCAGGTTATTTAATAGAAACTTCACAGCTTTGGTTTTAGGAATGAATGGAAATAACTCTTAAGCCATGTCAGTGAGGACATAAGCAGTAAAGACAATCAGCAACTTTAGTGCTCCTCAGCTTGGAGACTTATTCTGTGATGTCTTCTTCTCAGTAAAGTTATATTTTGTTTAAGCTAATAATTAAATGCATTTGTAAAGCTCAGTGAGTAGGAATAACAGGTTTCCAGAATTTCACTGAATGACAAAGGACAGACACTTTCATTTTGCTAGGAAAAGTGTGCACAAGTGGTCACAGAATATGCCAGATGTCTACCACTGAAGATTGGAAATAACCGAGATAGGAGTACCCAGACATGTGAGAAGGTCAAGATTTTAGTTGTTTCTTATTTTACCTTCAATGAAACCACTGTTCTTAGATATGTCCAAATTAGAAATTATGTATTTCCTATATATGGCCAAAAGTCCATAGTTTTTTAAAATTCAGAGCAATAAGATCATTTGACTTTTTCTTCAATGTGCTACACACCCGAGCCTTTCCTGTGAAGAATGTACTCCTAAAGAGTCGGAGACTCCTTGCTAGCATAAATCGTGTGAACCAGCTATGTAGTAAATGCTAGAGACAGAGTGGAATGTCTTCCAAACAATACATGAGCCCCAAATTGTGTCTTTTACATTCATTTTCAGAGTATGTAGTATGGCTATATGAATATCTCTTTCTACTGAGAGATCAGAGGAGTACAGGAGAGGTCACATATTCTGACAATCCTCCAGTGAAATGAAAACAAGCCAAGTTACACTCACAGGGGACATACAAGGAAGGACTATAGGGAAAGAAAGGGCTGGGGATTTAGCTCAGTGGCATAAGCACCTGCCTTGCAAGTGTGTGGTCGTGAGTTTGATCCCTGGTATCAATAAAAATATATATATATATAGGGAAAGAAACTCATCAACCTAACCCTAAACATTTACAGGAAGCTGAAGGGGGTGATTTCATCCAAAATTCCCTTGATGGCCCCATGGGAAAAGTAACACATGTAACTACTGGCATCTGGCTCCTTTTATTCTATCCCTTTGTTTAATTTGGATTAAAATCTTAAATGTTTTCATTTACTTTAGATTCATTTAAGACAAATAGAATCACTTAGCTCCCACCATGAAGGCTGACAGACTAGTAGAAATGGATATTTTTGATTGGCTGAATTGTTATTCAGAAATTTACAACCACTAAAGTTTTAGGAGCTTTTCAGAATGGTCTAGTGTCTTTCAAGATGAAAACAGGCTTCCCTTTCCTTTGACTGGCTGGATTGAAAGCTGTGCACATGTTCGTCATATCTGGATCTTGTTGACTTTAAAAAAGGTACTGGATCTTACCTTGAAGACCACTTCAGGTTGCTGGACAGACTTCTCTTTTGCACTGCTGCAGTATCATTTGATACACAGCAGAGCTTCCGGCACGCCCTGTCTCTGCTTGACTTTCCCATCCATTGGCTTCCCACTGCAGGTGAAATGAAATCCACATCTGATGTTGACCTCTGAGATTTTATGACTTGGGCTTGTTACACCCCACAACTCCTATCCAAGCCTTCCAGTTCAAATCGACCTTGCAGTATTGGGGTTAGAGTCCCTTTCTCTTTCTCTGCTTTTTTTTTTTTTAAAACCACTTTGACCTCTTTTGAGATACTTTCTCACACTGATCTCTTCTATCAAACCATCCACATGATCATTTTCTGTTTCTGTGTTCTTTCTGTCGCCTATCACTGTATGTCATTTCATTTACTCATATTCTTATTATTCATCTGTCTTGACAAGCAGAATATAAAATCCAAGATGGCAAGTGTATGTCAATTTCTGTATTTCCATTAATTTGAACACTTTCTAGTGTAAAGTTGGCACTTCATAAAGAATATTGAATATAGTATTAGATGCTTTATTACTATCCTATGACTATCACACTGCAGCCAGAAAGAGTGTTCTCAGATAACCTCTTTGTATCAGTGTTTCTAACAAATTCTGTTCTCTTTGAGTGTTATGTCTTCTCTCTGCCCCCGATGCACCCTTTTGTTCAAGTCACCCTTCAAATCTCTGTGTAGTTGTCATCTCCAGGAAATCCCTCTTGGCTATCCCAGACAGGATCAAGTGCTTTCTCCATACGTCTTTGGGTCATAAGTCAAGTGCACTAGTCACTCTGAGTAATCATGTGTCCACAAACCAGAAATAGTTCTGTCTATTTCCCTCCACATTTAGAGTATCCAGCATAAGGCCCGTCTCCTTGAGAACCATAATGCTTATTTGTTAAACGCATGCAAGTAAAATCATGATGTTCAAACATGTTGAAGTTACTACCTTTCCATGTTGTGTGTAGAATGCCCATAATGCTGATTTGTTGAATACATGAAATTGTAATTAGAATTGTAGGATGTTTTCAAGTATGTCCACTTCATTATTCTTCTACATTTATACATAAAACACCCATGGTGTTCCACAGGAAAAGGATAACTCATCATTCGTACTTTTTTTTAATGTTCTTGTTTAACCTAGTAATTAACACCTCCAGAGCTCTTATGTTTTTCCAGCATGCAGCTGAGGCTTGTGCTTGGATAATCTTCTCCCAGCTGCTCCAGGAGTTAAGGGATGTTGGACCTGCCATCATACAGCTGACAAAATCAAAGCCTAGTGGCCAGTATCATACAACCAGTAAGTTCTAGGGCAGGACTGAACCCATAGTGATGGGTGGTAGGGCCATAAGCAGTGAGCTACAGCACCTGTGACAGCAGGTTAGCTGTGATGGTCACCTGTAACTTCTGCCTTTGCAGACTTAATATGGTCACAAACACCATTCCCTAAAAATCTGATCAAATCACCATCTCTCCTGCTTAACCACTTTTGTAACCTTACAAAGACTTAATAGGAAAAACGCTCAGTTCTCTCCTGTAGCAGTCTCAAGCTGTTCCCTCTGGCCTTGGACTCACCTTTCTGCCTGCTTTCCCCACAGTCCCTTAGCATGAGCCCAGCACTGCAGCCACTCAGAACCTTTAATCGGTCTCTTTCTTTATTTGATGATTTACCTTCAACTCTGAACCCTTCTCACTCCTCTTCAGCCAGCTTAGAGATCCTTTCTTACCTCTTAGGGAGTAGATCAAGTCCTCTGTGGGGTGTCCACTGTACTTCTGTTGATTGTGTCTCTCCCCACTATGAATTGTATGCACTGTTTTCTCTCTCCACCTGGCTTCAAGGCTAAGTTTCCAAGAGCAGTGCCTGGTCATTTGGATCTATGACATTCTTTGCAAGAGCATGTAGTTCCCAAAACTAAAACCAAAACAAGCCTAGAAAAGAAGTGAAAACAAAAACTAGCTAACTAAATAAAAGACCCTAAAACAAAAGAATATGCATGGAAGAATGACTAAAATGAAAAAAAAACCACTAAGTGCCAGGCTCTTTATAAGACCATTTCACAGTGTGTACCGAAATTAAACTTAACACGGGAGCCAACAATTCTACACCTCAACATATATCCTAAAGAAGTGCATGCTTTTGATCATCATAACACTAGTTCTAATAGCAACACAATTTGTAAAAGCAAAGACTGGAAATCATCCAAATATACACAAATGCAATAACGCATCAATAAATTGTGGTGTCAGTTGGTTTATATGCACCCAGCAATGCGAATGAACAAAGCAGAGCTGTCCTTTAAGGCCACAGTGATTCCTACAAAGCTAACACTGAGCAATAGCAATCAGCTAGAGACAAAGGTTACATTGGTATAATTCTATTTCTACAGTTCAAAACTGGCAAGATGGGTCCCTGGAGTTAAAAGAGTAGTTATATTTGTTAGAGGAAGCAGTGGCTAGCAGTGGTCACATGGAGACTTCTTTGGTGCTGATGATTTTCTGTTTTTAACCAGGGATCTGGTTCTACACTGTGTTCACTTGGTGAAAGTCAAGTTGTGTTCCATTTTGTGTGCTCATTTTGTACTTCAAAAAAAAAAAAAAACTACAGATCGATTACAAGATGAACAGAAAATGGAAGAATGAAGGAGAAAGAAAAGAGAAAATTTTGAGTAAGTAAAGTTAATTAAAGGAAAAACTGTGTCTGTGAAATCATAAGTCTCACAATTCAACTCTTTTTGTGGGATTAGAGATTGAAGGTAGAGCCTTTCACTCATCTATATCTCCCGGCTTTTTACTTTTTATTTTGAGGCAATGTCTCACCAAATTATTAAATTGTCCAGACTAGGCTGGAACTAGTGCTCCTGCCTCAGCCTCCCAGAATTCTGAGATGACAGGCATGCACCACCATACCTGGCTATAATCTAGTTTTCTTCAAAAGAGCAAAAAATGCTTCCAAGTCAGCACAAAATCCTACCAACAAAGCTGGAAGCACTGATGATTTTTGTGTTTTAAGCAGACTTGTGTGTAATGTAGTTATAGCAAATGGAATCTTCCCTGTTTGTGAAGTGCAAGCAAGTGCTTCTGAGAACTGATGTGTCCTTCTGAGCAAGCATCCATGGGGCTGCCAGGCAGTGAGTGAGCGATTTTAGCTCATTCAGCTTAAAACATAGTGGTGTTATTTAGTTTATAAAGGATGCTAGATTGTCAATTGTTCTTGAAGGAAGTGGGCATAATTAAGCATAGACATTTCTTCTTTCCCGACTGTGGAACTGGTGGTGTCCACATCTCTTGCTAATTTTCAGTGACTGGATTCTATTCATGAGCCAGTGGTTCCAGCTGACAATACGCCCATTGCAACGGCCGCATTCACAACATTTCTTTAGTAAACTGCAAGGCTGTTTTTCTCCCCCCATCACAGAAGTGGGATTTGATCTGTGTTTCTTGGCTAGGCTTAGACACATGAAGATCAAACACGGGCTTTGTCAAACAGACAGTAGCCCTGTGCTAGGGAAAAAGAGTCCCCCCACTTCTTTCCTCAGGCAAGTAAGTGAGAATGTTAAGAGTTATGACAGTGTTGAATTTCAGATCAGGTAAACTGACAAAAAGCCCCGCTGTGAATCAAAGTGTTTCCTTTTGTACATTTTGGCAGCTCCTTGAAAGCAGAAAATAAGCTCAGACTGTCTGCCTTATGTTTCGTATTCCTTGATAGTGATACCGGACCTGAAAACATATTGTGCGTTTCATTTGAAAGCCGTGTGTGTGTGTGTGTGTGTGTGTTCAGTGCATGAGAACTAGCTCGAAGACAAAGTACCACTAAGAGAATCACAGGTCATAAATTAGCAAGTAAAACTATTTGAGTGTTACCCCCTAGCTGCTAACCCTTTCTAAAAAGGTCCACACCTCTTCTTTTATAGACAGTTAAAAGCAATTGTGCCTGCCCTATATGCTTATAAGATTTGTAATTGTCTTTGGTCTACATGTAAGATTATGTATTCATATATAAATTCAGTCATCAGAGCCTCATTTGTGTGATGAAACATAAGTTTTATTAGAAGAATACTCAGCAATTAACTCTTTTTCCTTACTGCTTTGACTGAAAATTTACCTATGGTACTTAGAATTATTTAAGTTTCTTGAAAATATAAAACCTATATCTTCTGCATGTGTTCCAATATTACTTTAAGCCAAAATATCTTTGGGAATTATTTGTCCTTAGTTATAAACAATAGTATAAACAACAGTTGTGATTAAACACTAAGGTGCATAAATTTAAGGTTCTTGCAGGGTGGTTTGTGAGTAGGTGAATAAGTGAGTAACACTCAGAGGCTTGTGAAAGAAGTGAGTTATAAGGAGTGGGGAGAGGAAATTTTCAAAGAGGTAAAATAATGTGTTAGTAATGTCCTTTTTATTGTTATTATCAGTATTATTAACCCCGTCTCTAGAAAGGGACACAAATAAGGAGGAAAAGAGGATTCTTGAAGGAGTAAAAGAATGTGTTACAAAAGTGTATTATTATTATTATTATTGGAACTGGAAAGGCATAAAAACAGGGTGGGAAGAGGAGACGTGGAGCAAAAGAAAGCAGACACCAAGTTGAGACCTGCATGGAAGACCCAGAAGCCCAGTAGCACTGTGCTCCTTGGGGTTAGATTTCCCCAGGGTCGGTCTCCAGCCCCCAGGTAAGGTGCAGGGCAGAGTGGTCAAAGGTTAGATGTCCCACACAACCATCACAGCCCACACCTCCAAGGAAAGAGACGCGAAGAGGGAAGAAGCGCCTTGGCTCTCTTCTGGTCCTGGCCCCAACCACTCCTCTCCACTCCGGAAGCCGCAGAGAGAGGCGGCCCCCAGTGTTCTTAATTACTTGAGGTGAGTCATACATTTCTTTAGAAGTTGAGAAAGACTATGGATGCCTTCAGGAAAAAAATGTGTACATATATGTAAATATAAATGTTGATGACCATCTTCATCTAGACTTCCCAGAAGCAACCCAGGGCAAGAGTTTGAAAGCAAGTAGTTCATTTGGGTTGCACAAGGGGCAGGTTAGGGAAAGGAAGAGGCTGACAGGATGAGAAAAGTTAGGAAACCCAGGTGGACTCTTCAGGCACTTTCCACACAGGTGACTGAAGTTCAAACCTTTGAGGAAAGTGGAAAATTACACAGAATACATACCTCGGTGTTATTCCAGGCTGAAAATCTTGACACTCATCGTCAATGGCAAGGGCTTTCCCTTGTAGGAGGTGAGTCGCCAGCCACAGAGATTGGTAGCATTCAGAGCAACACGGGTTTTAAGTCCACCAGCAGGCCCGTGGAAAAGATGCAGTTGTGGGCCACAGGAAGTTAGGGTATTGAACACAGCAAGACTAAGAAAACTCTAGAGGATGTGGGTAGGTCGAGTCTATAACACAGCTCAGGATCTCCTCCTTCATTTGATCTCTTAAAGGCCATCTTAGACCTGTTTCTTAAAGAATTTTGATTGTGGGGAAAAGGACACCTAAAGGTAACATGTCCTATGCATAGATGAGCTCACTTATTAAGTGCTGAGATTTATGCTCCATGGTATTTTCAACTATGCAGTTATTCTAGAAGGAAGGGATTCAGTGGGGCAGTGAGCATCTTCAAAAAGATTGTCAAGAGTTCCAAGGACTCTTTGAACTCTTCTGACTCATCGTATTTTGTAGGGCTGGTCATGTAACCTCTCTTTATGAGAGTCTCTATCTAGGGAATGGTATAATAATGACCTCTGTCATACTTGGGAAGAAAGGTGCCCGGGCCCATGATGTCTTGACACTGTCAAGACATACAATGCCCCTGTATGACACTCTTCCTACTTTTTAATTTTCTTTACCCCAAGGAAGGAATTGAATCAATAGGGAATCCTATCCTGGACTTTGGGAAATTGAGTCTCAGAGGATCAAGTTAATGTACCTAAATTACCTAGTAAGTAACAGTAAGAATTAGGTACTAGCACATCTAAATTCAAGGTCATTATTCAACTCCTCAGGTTTTACCATCTCCTCCTGGAAATGGGGAAATAGGTGCTAATAATAGATGTGGCTCTCCCATGAGGCAGAAATACTTATGCACCACTTGGGGACACAGTCATCCAGAGGAAATTAGTTAATGCTTTCTGGCCATAATTCTGTGACAAAGGACAGCCTAAAAATTCTGGAAAATGATAATTCCCCATAATCTTTGAATTTCAATGAGGTTACAACCTGATATACCCATTAAAAATTGAAAATATTATAAATTTTGATGAATTTAACATATGTAAGGTCATAACACTACAACTTAGCTCAGTTTACCTTAAACTCACTTAGCACACTTACCTTAGAGTTGGGTGAAATCATCTGAGGCCAAGCTTATCTTATGCTTGAGTGTCAAATGCTTCATGAAATCTATTAAATCTTCTGATGATAGTGATAAACAGAATGACTGTACGTGCACACATCTGCATCACTGTAAACCATGAACTGTCTGCAGTTCAGGTACTGTGCTTGTACTCATGTCATTTATATATTGCTCCCCAACGTGAATTTTGGCATTAATGAACAGGGTCAGGAACTCTGTTGAAGTGTTTTGAAGTTTTTAAGTGAATGAAGAACTGACAAATTACCTGTGGCAACTTTTGGTACCTTCTGGTAAAGTTATATATATATATATATATATATATATATATATATATATTTACCATATAAAACAGCAATCTCACCCTCTGAGCATTCACCAAGAGAAATGAGAAGGCTCACACAAAAATTATATCTAGCCATTTATAGAAGCCCTAGTCATAGTTGATAAAATATAGAAACACTCAATGAGGTACCAGTGACTTGTTGTGGCACATTTAGTCAATGGGATTCTATTAAGAATAGGAAAAAATAACTAATTATTGACACATGCAGCCGTATGCACAAATCTCCAATACATTATTTTGCATGGGAGAAACCAGACACAAAAACACTGCATCATGTATGCTTCCACTTGTAGAACATTCTAGAAAAAGTCAAGCTGTCAGGACAAAAATCTGACAGTGCTTTCTGGAGGTTGGGGATTACGGAAGAGACTGGCTATGCAGAAACAGCACAGCACAGGAGCAAAGGAACTATTCTGTACCGTGGTTGTGGTGCAGCTACCTGACTACATACATCTGTCAAAATCATGCAATAAATATCTCAGTAAACTGGATCTCCTTCCTCCTCCTCCAATAAAGAAAAAATGAAAAATGGTAGATTTATGCTAGAAAATCTCAATAGTGGCGCCATGGAGAAGAGGAGTAGAAAGAGATACTCAGAATCATAAAAGCCATAAAGAGATCTGACAATAAGGGCTGGGGGTTTAGCTCAGCGGCATAAGCACCTGCCTTGCAAGCAGGCAGTCGTGAGTTTGATCCCTGGTACCGATAAAAAGGAAAAAGACAAAAAAAAAAAAAAAAAAAAAAAAAAAAAAAAAAAAAAAAAAAAGAGATCTGACAATAACGTAAGACTTTGTGTCAGGGTCTTTTTCAGAGGTCAAACAGAATGGGAGCAAGCATGGACTGCCTCAGCTCATCAGTTCTTATGGTAGTCTCAAAAGCCAAATCCTACCCCGTTTTACACGCACACACACATATACATACACACACGCTCACACATGCAGAGAATAACAAGCTTTGCAAAGTGCAAACGTTTCTATTGCTGCCAGAGGTCAGGCTAAGGATGAAGCTTGAAACCTCGAATTTGCCCAGCTGTCATCTCCCCGTCTCCGTCAATACTGCGAATGTCCAGCTCTACCCTGAAGATATCTACAAATACATCTCCCTGGAAAATACTGGCACATAAATTTAGAGAAGTTTAAAGTGGGAATGAATGCCTCTAGCTACAGGGTGGAAAAAACCTGTGCCCTACTCCTTGTGGGCAACCCAACCTGTTTGAACTGCTAAAAACACTCAGGGCAAAACAAGGAGACCTGAAAAAAATAAGCTTTTGAGAAAACAGTTCCCTCAATATTCCTAAGTTTAATGGCTCAATATTTAGCATGTGTTTCATAACTCCAGCTTTTTTTGGGTGGAGGTAGGTAGGGGAGATGGGAATATAGTAAAGGGTTTTCAAAACACTTGCTATTTGTAAGGCTTCTTTTTTTATGTACCATAACGCACACAGCCTTCCCAGGCATGGGTCATGCTGTTTCCCTGCAATGGAACTGAACATTAATGAGGAAAAGTGGGAAACTGGGTTAGGCTACCATGGAAAATATGAAGAGCCCTGGAAAACGTCATCCCAGATTCTGACAGTGACTCCAGGGTTATTGGAAGAACTCTTTTCCCCTTTACCTTTTAACTCCTGGGGCCTAAGGGGTTCCCCCAATGCTAGCAGGTTCTCAAAGGGCTGAGCACTCAGGGCCTTGCAGTCCCACAGTACAGACAGACGGGTTAAAAGACAACTGACAGATCAGAACAAAGTGAGACAGGACTGCCGTGGGGGAATAGAGTCTGGGAAGCTGCCACGGTGGAGAGGGAGAATCCCTGTTTGTTTTCACCTCTCTTACTTACTAGCTATGTGGATTTGAGCAAGCTACTTAGTCACCCTGAGCTTCAAGTTCTTAATCTAAGTGGAGATAATAAAAACATATTTGAGGCTTAAATGAGAAATGCATGCAAAGCATTTAAAGAATGCCTGGCGTATAGTAAGAGGGCATAGATGTCAATCATGACAGCGACTCTCTAAGGTGGGGAGGGCTGAGTCTTTACAGAAAAGTAAGCAGAGGCCGGGTAGACACACAGTGCCGCCGATGGGATTGGAGGGAGCCTGCTGCAGCAGGGGCGAGGAGAGGCAAGACACGGTAGGTAGGAAAGATCTTGATCTGTTCAAGACCAGATTCAGGTCCTTGGGGGCCCTCAGGAGTAAGGGGATTGTGTTAAGAGATGCCTCCTGAATGCATAGGAATATCAATCAGTGTTAAATCATGAAGTAAGGACGAGGCACAATGTGTTTTTAATGGTGCTGGGAATGGAACTCACGACCTCAAACTTGCCAGGCAGGTGCTGTGCCACTGAGCTAAATCCTCAGCCCCGTTCTGATTTGACTCTTAACAAGTGAATTGAGTGTTGTACTTTGAAATGTTAAAAATCACATTTCTTATGAAAACTGGTTGCTTTGGGGAGTACCTGGTAGTGCTGAATCTCCCAGGAAGTATTGAGCAGGGACCTCTTAGCTACATATGGTGCAGCCAGGGATTTGGGAAAGTAAAGACTGAAATGCTGACGGCAGCTCAAACGTGGAGGGCAAGACTTAGGGCCTTCCTAAGGTAGGCAGGGGAAAGTTGGTGAGAAACTTCATGCTGGTTGAGTGACGTGTAGCTGTAACTGGTGGCCTTGTGAGGAATTATATTCAGTAGCATTCATTTCCCAGTAGCAATCAGGGGAATTTGTCAGAGCTCAAACTTCCCTAAGAAGCCTTTCATAACTGTTGTACATCATCCATTGATTCTTAGGGACCCTGTGCTGGAAATGAGCGGAGATATCCAGTAAAAAAACAGAACAAGAAGAATCTTGAAATGGAAATTGTTCTCTGCTCATGTTTCTGGCAGGCTGCATTTCACTATACCAATCTATGGAATATAACTGATTGCAGGTGGGATAGGAATATCCTACCACACTTACATCGACCCGAAGGTATCTTGGCCAATCTAAAACTGAAAGCTAGTCTTTTTGTTTTTCTTCTGTGGTCTAGAATTGTGGTATCACGGAGTATTCAGGTGAGGACAGGGCCGTTTCTGTTCTGTGTGTGCACACGGTGGCAGGAGTCCCCGAGTTGGCATTCTTCTTTACATGCAGTTGGGAAAAATGTTGCAGTCTCATCTTACGTTGGAACCGAATCTCTGTTTTCCATATCTTGAACTTCTACTTTGTTTTTTCACCCCACGTTTCTTTACTAAGTCGGAAATACACACAAACATGCACACACAGGCACATTTATAAAACAAGTGTGAGAACAAACTCAACAGAGCTTAGCCACCCAAAGATTTGCGAACTGGAAGATACTAAAACCTGGTGTGGGAGCTTTGCTCATCCCCGTGCATTTTTGAGATGAGTGATGCCTAGTATTGTCCTGTTATGTTTAATGACTCAGCAGATGAACATCTTGGCTTTTGAGTGGAATTATGATTTTCTCAGGGAATATTTTTCAAGAGCCAGAGGATTATTTTTGGGTGCCTTCAGAACCCCATCCAAGATTCAGATACCAGATAGTGTTTCATACTTCGTGATGACTTTTTGGAATTCATGTAGCTGTTACTGTCTGAATTTTCATTTGCTTTGTACTAATCTTTTTGTGAGCATTCACAGCTGTCTTCTTTATTTTCATCAATCCTGAGAAGTATTTACTTAGTATCAACCACGATAAAACCTCTGTTTTCCACATATTTTAGTTGAGAGACCTTGTTCACTTACAGGACTTTCAAAAGCATTCATAAATTTAGGTAAACTTTTAGGCAAGTCCATCTTTCTAGGTCTCAGTTTATTCATTTGGAAAATGGGAAGAAATCATACCTGTGTCCTAGGCTTCCTACCAAGGTTAACTGAATGGATGTATGTGCTTACTGTTAAGTAAGTGCTAAATAAATGTTAGCTCATGTTGTTCCTCTTTTTTTTTTTTTAACTAACATACTTCCTCATGGGTCCACAGTCCAGTTCAGAAGCAAACAGAAATCTTTACAATGTCTAAGTACGGTTACAGGAGTCAGTGCAAAGAAATGAAGATAAGAGCTCACGCAGGGAAATAAGGAAGGCTTCCCGGAGAGCTGGACTTTGATCGGCTTCCTGGAGAAGGAATCTGGTTTCACCACGTGAAGTAAGAAGTAGCTGCGGGCTGAGGCAGCGGCCTGGTGGGGAGGGACTGTGTGTGTGTGGGGGGGTGGCAAGCCCACCGGCCCTATGTGTGTGGGGGGAGAGAGAGACAGATGGGTGCGAGCGCAGGTTGGGAGTATGTAGGGCCCATGCTCGGAACAGCAGACCTCAGTGTATGCCTCTACACGTGTTTGTGGCTATCTGAGCTTGCTTCGTTCTAGGAATTCATATTGCAAAGCTAAACATTATTAGATTATTTATGACAAGCCTGAGAAGCCATATAGCATTGCATTCCTGCGACACTGACAGACTACTGATATGCCCCCAGGGCAAATTCTCTTTGGCATAGTCAGGCCACTGTGACAGGAGCTGCTGTGATGCTATTAACATCAACAACTGGAACCACCTGGACATCAGCTGGCCAGGAAGTCAGGGTTTCCCCAGTTGCTACGATCCAGTTATAGAGTAGAATGAGCATCTTTGTTTCTAGTGCATCTGTCACCATGGACCAAGTGAGAAGGTGCAGTGTTTAGACCCAGAGGGAACCAGGGAGCAAGGTCTTGGCTCTCCTTTCCTGCTACCTCTCCACTGACTCCTGGTTCTGTTCTCTCCTCTCTCCTGCCCTGCTTTTGCCCCAGGAGGGTGTGTCAGGCAGTAGCAGTTTTAGCAGAATGTCAGAGGGCAGGGGGAGAGTGAAGGGGCCTGGGGTGTTTATTCCTCTCACTTCTAGCGTCTCTCTGGTTCCACTGGAGACCATGCTGGGGCCACAGCTCCTCCCTGGTGTCCTGTTTTCTCTGCTCTCTCTGCTTTACCCTCCCCCAGCTCCAATGATGCCCAGGTTCCTGTGCCCACTTCAGCTCCTTGCTGTTGCTGGTCCTGCTAGCCGGACCATTCTCTCTTTGCTCCACAAAGAGCCCCTATATTCTATTATTCTCAGCTGTAACTTGTGCCCTCATTCCTGATGAGCCCTTCCTGGTTGCACCTGACATCGTCCAAGGGGCTTAGCCTTGGAGCCTCAGCCTCCTCATACGCAAAATCAGGATAGTTACATTCGGTATCTGCTGAAGTTGTTCCAAGAAAACAACGAAATTCTGTGTTCTGCTATAATATTGTTAAAGCATCGAGAATGGTGCCTGATGCGGGAAGGCATTCAATAAATATTAGCAACTGTTGTCATTACATCCAGAATTAAAATGCCGATCATGGATATTCAGGAGCTTTAGGTCCACTGGATCAGGAAAGTGCTTGGGTCACTGCCTTGGGCAACCCTTTCGTTTTCTATTTGAGGAAACTGAGGCCAGCAGGCTTGCCCCAGTTCACACAGCCAGTGAGTGGAAACATTGAGGACAGCAGCTGACCACACGGACAGGAGGCCAGCTGTGTTTACATCTATTCTATTTAACTTCTTTAATTAAGGTGTTGATTCCCTCGGTGACGTCACCCACTTGTTTTAGCAATGGGTTACATAAGCCTGTCTCCCTCCACCAGCACTTTATTTGCTCTCTCTGAGAAGAGCATCATACTGTCCCAAAATAAGCAAGAATTCAGGAGAATACCCCTGTTTCATCGCTCCTGCTCCACGCAGCTGACTCATTTACTCCTGGGCCTCGAAGCTCACTTCCATCAATCACCTATCCGCAGAGCTCACTGCTCCATCAGCCTTCCTGGCTCTGGCAGCTGGGGCCCAGAAGTGCCACCCGGGAGGGAGGCTTTGCTGCTATGCAAGCGGAGGCCACTTTCAGGTTCTCTCTGGTGTGCAGAGCGTAGGTTCAGCCCATGCTCATGGCCTGCTGAAAGCCAGGTCAGGGACAGAGCTCAAGCAGACAGGATTTCACCACACAGTTTCAAAACAGCTGGTTAGGATGTGATCATTTTCTGTATCATGATGTTACTAGATTTTAAACAGATACACACGTAGCCACGCTGACACCTACTCCAAGTGCCAGTGGTCAGTTTCTTTTCAAGCTCAAATAGTAATAAAAGCCTCTCTCTCTGGCTCTGTCTCTTTCTGTCTCTGTCTCTGCCTCTCTCTCCTGCTCTCCCTCTCTTCCCAACAGTAGCACACTTCAAGCCATCTTCTTACCATTATTCTCAAAGCACACTTTGCATCACACTGCGTGTGTCTGTCGGAGCAGAGCTGATGTTTGTCATGGATCTTCTTTCACAGAAAGCCAGTGTTTGCAGGGTGCCCAAATAACTGGTTGATTCAGGGCAAAAATATTAGTCAAACCGTTTGTTTCACTGAATTAGCGAATCAGTTCGGGTAACGCAGGCAAGCCAGTAGCCCAGACTCGGCAAAGCTCCGTGTCCTTGAATGATCTCTCATGCCCTCATTACTGGAGGGCTGGACTCCCAGGGAGCTCCTGAAGGAACAGCTCTGGGCTCAAGGCAACATTTCCCTCCCCAGGCGGCTTGTTCTACAGGTGTTCCAGTGGGCATTTGAACTCCCTCACAGGCTGCTTTAAACTGGCCAAGGGTCTGGTTCAGCTTATCAAACTTGTATCTGTTTTTATTAATGAGGTTAAAAATGGTATCTTCCCTCTAAATGTACACAACCCTTTAAGACAAAATCTCCCTAAAATGTCCGAGGTCACTTGCAAGTCATGAATGGATAGTGAGAAAATTAGTGTCAAAATTTCAAAAGTAGTGGAAGGGACCTACTATGCCACATACACCTACTGTGTGTCATGCATTGCACAGGGGGCAGGGATTGAAATTCAGTCTGTGCTCTGCCCAACATACTGCAAACCAGCCCAGAGGAGGATGCATCTTTTTCTGATTTGTACAAAAAGTTTTCCAAAAACAGGCCTTAGGCAAGATTTTGAATGAAGGCGAACTGGCGGGAGTGGGGGGTGGGGGGGAATTTCAGGAAGGGCAATGAGGAAGTGTGGTAAGAAAGGAAAGGAGGGAAGAAGGAAGGAAAGAAGGAACAAAGGAGGCGAAAGGGAAGTAGAAAGAGAAGACAAGGGAAGGGGAAGGAGGGAAGGAAGTGAAGGGGAGAGGAGGGAAGGGGAGGGAGTGTGTTGATGCTTGGTTAGCCTGGAGAGCAACTGAGGTGACTCCTGAGATTCCATATGGAGTGTATCCCAGAACTGCACTAAGGGGGTCAGAAACCCCAGGAATTTCTCCTACTTCTCTCTCCTATGATTTAAGCAGGAGTCCTGGACCATTAATGCCTGGACACTTGGCTGAGCACAGTGCAGTGGACAGAGGTCAGCTTCAGACTGAGACGGAGGAGGCCGCCTCTGGATGGGGAAGCAACAACTTCAGGAGGACTGGGCCTGGGGTGAGAGGGGCCGCCAGCCAGGACACACAGAGAAGGGGGTTATCTGCGTGCAGATGCATCCGGGTTCACTGACATCTGTCCTTCAACTGTCCCTCTTACAGAAAAATGACTATGAAAATGCCTATTGTTCTCCCTTTAGAAGGAGGTACATAGCAAAAGATTAACTCAGCACATTCCAGACATGGGGGTCATGTTTGATGTCATTTACATGAATCCTTAGAAATACTTTTATTTTTGAATAAACATACATGTGTTGGAACTATCTCCAATGTATTTTACCAGCAATTTCCACCTCCCTGAATTCATTCAATGTGAAATAGGTTACCCAGGGTCTAGAACAGATAGTGTTTGGGGAACTTGGGTGTCCTCGAAGCATCTGTGCTGCTCTTTGCTTCATAGTATTCAGCAGTCCCAGTGCGGCACATGCTGCTCATCCTAAAGATACAGCGTATGTTGTTGTGTGTATCTATGTATGTATACGTGTGCATGTGTGGATGTGTGCATGTCTGTACACCTATGTGTAGGAACACATGTGCATATGCATTTGTGTGTCTGTGCCTATGTGTTTATGCATCTAGATGCTTTACCATTCACCCTCCAGTGCCCACCCCACTGAAGCCCCCATTCCCTGCAGTAGACATGGAAGCGGGGTCTGTGCTGCCCCTGGCAAAATCTCTGCACTGGACCCTTCTCCAGCAGAAGAGCACCTGCTGCTGCTGCGCTGGTTGTCAGGGATTCTCCACCTCTTATTCCTGCTCTTTGGGTTGCCCCAGGGAGGCTTGGGAGCTGTCACACTGTGGTGCAGTTCTGTTGTTTTCTGGTGTAACATGCCCTAAGCATTTTATGTTCAAAGAGAGAAGAGAGAAATCAATTCCAATTTTAGCAAGGCATTTGTGAATAATAGCATTTGAAGAAGGCTGAGAATTCTAAGTATTTAAGTTCACTGTCTCATAATTGACTAAATCTAATAACTCATTTTAAAGGTGAAAAAACCAAGAGCAAAGGACCAGAAGTGGCTTGTTCAAGGCTCTATATGCCCAGCATCTTTCTTCAGGACCAGGATGCTATGTTTTCTTTCAGGCTCCACAAAAGCTCACTCTGCAGATTTGGAAAAGTCCCTTCATGTGCTGCTGGATAATCTCTATGTTTCCCCTGAGATGTGGCCTCTGCCCTGTGTCCTGCTATGTGCCTGACAAGCTGACTCTGGGGACCACTTTCTTTGTCTCTTGTCTTCTAGTCAGTGCTAGAGCAAGACCAGGGGTACCCCACGTACCCCTGCTGAAGTTCAGATTCCCCAGCAATCAGTCCTGGGGTCTGGTCAGTGCAGTGCATCCTGGGTCTCGGGCACCAAGTCACACTGCCCTGTCCTTCCTGCTGCCCATCACTGTCAGCCCCCTCTGCTGTTTCTCTCACCTGTGCACACGTCTGTGTACAGCTAAATTATCAGAGCAGACAGGGAGCTCCCTTCCAGGTCAGAGATGTATTCAGGTTCTCTTTTTTTGAACATGGACATTAAAAACTGTCTTCTTGGGGGAATTGATGAGGTTCAAATAAGACTATGGATATAAATGTGCTATGTCTGGCCCAGATAAAGGCTTGTTTTAACCAGTGATCGTACCAGGCCCTGGGGTCCAACTGTGGCTTAAGGCACTGACTGGTTTTCCTGTGGACTTCTTACAGAGGGACCCAACCACCCTCTTTATCTCCTGGGTCAGTCAGTTTGATGACATCGGGCAGACAGAAGGTTGCAATTTCTTTTCCTTCAGAAGTTAGTGAAATTGCAAACTGCACCCTTGACCTAGATACAAAGAAGTGAGAGGTCAGTCTTCCTGAGTAGCTGCAGGCATTGATCTGCCTGTCTCTCGGGTCTCTGCCTGTTACTTGAAAGCCAAACCAGGGTGACTCATGGTGTTCTAATGCAGCAAAGAAGGGAAACGAGTTCTCAGCAGGTGCTGTCACCAGCCATGCTCTACTCAGAGCTGAGTACCTGCATCAGTTTAAGAGAAAAGGCAAATGGAAGCACACTGCTAAACGAATCTTCTTCCCCCTTCTCTGCCAAGCCTCCAATCTGGCTCTCATCTATCTCCTGTCCAGTAGTCGCCTCAGCCTTGAAGGACATCTCTCAGTCCTCGAATGCAGGCCTATCCAATTCCATGAAATCCTGTGAGCGTCTATGGCTGTCTGCAGCACCCAGGTGTTTAAATGCAGGAAGACAAAAAGTGATCAAGACATGCTGTTATTTCATCTGTGCCAATAAATACCATTGTGATTAAATGTGAAATTGCCTGATTAATTAAGATAAGCACTCCAAACAACCCGCTAATTGGTGGGGGCCTTTCTTGTTGGCAGAGGCTATGGTTTGTTAGTGGTTAAGAGTGTGGGTTTTGGAGCCAGTCTGACCTGTATTCAAAATTTAGCATCGAGACATGCTCAGTGACATTGAGAAGACAGCAACCTCCCTGTCTGGAGGTGTGTTGAAACCAGTTCCAAGAAGCTGATTATGCATATCTTTTCCTGACTGCATTCATTGATTGCATGTTGGTGGTTTAAAATATTTTAGATATAATGAAAAGTTGGTCAAATTTACTCATTGGGTATTTTTTCTTTTTTATGTAGAGTCCATTGTGAATATTTACCAGCACAGCACCCCACTGTCTCTATATTTCTTCACCTCTAAAGTGTGAGCAATAACATGGACTTGCTGTGAAGATTAAATTTCATAGAAAATACACATGGCACATTATGCTTGTAAATACACACATGCACACACACACACACACACAAAATCTGCTTTTGTGACTGTATACTAGTCCATGGAGTTTCTCCATGGCATTTGGTGGGCTAGTGATGAAGCAATCCCTATTCTAGAAATTGCAGGCTGAGTTTCCCAAAATGAAAGATCCCGTCTCTGAGTTCCTACTCAGGCAATGCCGTCTTCTGAGACAAACCCGGACACAGAAGCAACTCTTCACTGGAGAACGACTCAGCCTCCTTTTCGGGAGGCTAGCTCTGCTTCCTAGGAATCGGCCATGGGCAGTGATTGACAGGGTGGTTCTTGGGACCCTGGTGACCTTCAGACTGCTCGGGAAGGAAGGAGTCTGTTGATGAAGTGCTGACCTGCAAAAAGTACCAGCACAGGTGGCCCCCAATGTCACTCCCGAGGAGCTGGAGTTGTGCTTCTGGGGTTGCTCGGGAGGGCTCGGGGCTTGCTGCAGGGTAATAGGAAGGACATGGGGTGAGGAAAAGGTTCCTGCCAAGTTGCTGAGAGACACATGATAGCTCAACAGGGAACCAGGAGTCAGGTTTAATATTGTTGCTGCCGCACACTTATTAATTGAGGTCAATGGTTTATCAGGTCCTCACTGAGGGCCACAGAGAGGACAGGCTTCCAAGTGCAGGGAGGGAAAACAAATCCGAGTTTCTAGTGCCAATCCTTACCTGCTGGCATGACAAGAAGCCTCCCCAAAGAGCCCTAGTCCCTGACTTCCCGCTGTGCCCAAATCCCCACTGTCCCAGGAGATCCAGAAGAACCTTTGCAAATGTGTGCTTTCCTGCCCAGGAAGGCAAACTCACTCCAAGACAAGTGTCACATAAGGATAGACAATACTCCCATCTGGCCAGTTTTCCTTGACGGTCACCTACCCAGGCCCCAAAATAATGGCACATGGCATTGGATGTGATCACAGCATCTTTAAATGAAACACATATGTGATGAAAGTGAGAGGAAGCTAGTGTAAGAGAAGTTTTAGTCCAGGAAGTGGCCGCAGTAGCAACTTTGGAACCCACAGGCTGTGCCTACTGTGGGAGAAGAGGGTACAGAATGCAGGAAGGACAAACAGACCACAGCCCAGCAACAGGCAAGCTGGGAGCGTAAGGGCAGGCTGGGGTGCACTGGAGGAGGTGCAGTGCAGTTTTCCTCTGGACATTTTGCCTGTGCTAATTGGTGAGTTCGAAAGCTCAACAGGAAAGAAACTTCTGATAGCGAAAGGGTCAAAACACGGGGAAGGGCACCCAGAGGGCAGTCACCATGACAGGGCTCTGTGACCTTGTTGGCAGCGGCAGGCAGAGGGTATTTTTGGCCTGCAGGTCTTGTGAGCAGAGGGAAATCAGGAAAGGGAAGCTGAGTATTTAATCCTATGGAGATCACGGGCTAATCCCACCCTACTTAGTGTGTGTAAGGGAAAAGTTGTCAAGGATTTTTAACAACCTTGAAACCGCAGGCGTTGGCAGATAGCAGACCTGAAGCCAGGGGTACAGAGAAGTGTTGGGGGGGGGTGGTGTTCTCTCCTTTGCCTTGAAGGCTCTGAGAGGTTGAGAAAGTGATTTTCTGAGTATGAATCCCTGGCCTCATCTCTTCTCTTGAGCTCTGGGCATCTTGGATTCACATTTTATTATTATTAATTTTTCTTTTGGCCTCTAACTTCGGTCTGTAACCCCATTCCAATTTGAATCAGCACTTAGACAAAATTTGTAAAATGATAAAACCCAGTGGGGGATTCCCAGTGAAATCACTTCAGAAATTAGTGAAGCAGTGTGTTAGAGAAAGTCTGGTAGGGCTTGACACTTAGCAGGCTCTCTCATTATTGCTGTTAATATTTAAATGTGATCAGAACTGAATTGGACATTGGCTCGTGGACTGTGTTTTCAGCCAAGGGATAAGTTGCCATGAATGAAGTTGCATTGAATATCTGACACAAAGTGAACCCCTGCTAGGAAGAATTGCTTTCTTTCATATCTTAGGCTAGATTGCTAACAAACTTAAATGTACTGCAAGTTCAATTTTATCATAAATGAGATGGGACTTTGGTGCATGGTAAACTGTGTGTTTCATATACATGTATGAGGAAATAGGTGCAATCTTCACCACCAAAAAAGAAGAAAGAAAAAAATTAAGAAAGAAAACAAAGAGAAAAAAGAAAGGAAGGAAGGATAAAAGAAAGAAAAATAAAGAAAGATGACGAGAAAGAGGGAGAAAGAAAAATAGTACTTCCACTGCAAATATGTTATACATTCTTACACAGGAAAGTTAAGATTATCTAGTTGTTTACTCCAAGAGAAAGAAGGCCAGAATAAGGAAGTAACTTAGTTCGGTCATATAACTTTTTTTTTTTTGGTCTTACAATGATAGACTTTTTGCCAGGATTTCTATTTTGCTTCACAATTTTTGGTTGCTTTTTCTTTTTGAAGTGCTCCTTCAGAGGAAACAAATCTTTCTATTGACATTGAAAATGAGTCATAAGAGAAGTGTTGCTACTTTCCTTTTGAGGGATTTTTTATTTGGTTTTGTTTCCATTAAGTTTTAGCAACAGGAAAATATGGACTTTCAGCATCCACAGGGATCTGATCAAATGGAAACATATGTCCCTTGCTACAGACCATGAGAAAACTCGCAAATCACTCAGAGACTTTTTAGAAATGTTGGTAATCAAAAAGCTTCCTGCTGCCTTTATTTCTCTAAAACAAAATGGGTTTCCATGTTTTTGAAGTCAGCATTGACGAAAAGAGCTGATGGAAGGCCCAGACTGTGTTCAGACCACTGTGTGTGTTGCAGAAATCTTGGAGTAGCAGCTTCACGTATTTCTAGACCTTTCTAGCTGAAAGATTGATATCCTGGTCATTGCGTGGAACTCCCAAAAGCATGAGTCTTAGATCAGAGAAGCCATGACTACATTTATTTAGCTTCAAATCAGTGATTGGACATACACTGTATAATACATGGGCCCAGGCATTTATCACATCGTTAGAGTAAAAAAAGGACCTGCCTAGCGTTCCTGACAATGCTGTCTGCGAACCCACTTTTACAGTCATTTGAGCATTTGGCTTCTCCATCACTTCGTATAAAAAGTGCATGTATACTCTTGTATTAATTTGACTAGATAAAAAATGTCCCTGTGTGTCTTCAGAACCTACAGCATGGCCTGCTGTTGAGCCAGGACATGATAAACACTTTCAAACGAAAAGGCACCAGCAGCAGCGCATGTAACCCCTTATTTTTGGAAGTAACCTGCGTTGAACATCCAATCACACTGGCCCCAAATGTCTGCTTTAGTTCAAATAGTTGTACTCTGAGGAAGGGAAATAATTTAGCCTTCCTGGCCTTCTGTTTCCTTCTCTGCAAACAAAGGGATAGAGTTTTTATCCGGTTACTTTCAACTCTGTGAAGGAGAGAGGTCAAATTCACTTGACTTTGTCCTTTTCTGTTTTGTAAGGTACTCTCTGTTCAGATTCCTTTCCTTTCTTTTAAGTTTGTCTGCAGTTCTTCCTGCTTTCTACTTCTTCCCACTTTCCTATTGCTTCCAGTTTATAATCATCCAGGAAACGCAAAAGACAAACATCTCATGCCCTGAGTCTGTCATTGAGTGACCTCAAACAGACTTTATCACAGAAGAGCTGCTGGGATGCTGTGTTCCCTGAGGGTTCCTATTTCCTTGTGGCCTATGTTTTAACATTTATGGTAACTGTGGCAACAATGCCTCTTTTTGGCCTTAGCTAAGATGGCAAAAGACATGAATACCTGTGTTTGTTTAAACTGGCTATTAGCAAAAACCATTTGATTTTTCCCGAGACATGTTGCTTCAGCTGTCTTGCAGTACGGCTATTTTAACTACTTCATGTGACTATTAATCATATGCCTAAAAGAAACAGATAAACTTTGAGACAGGATTCAGCTCAGCAAATGTTTATTCATTATCTCGCATGTGCTGGCTCTGGTGCTAGGTGCATAGATGGCACAGAATGAGCCTTGCAGAGCCCGTGACGAAGGAGAGGGAATCTGCTTATGTGTCAGTTTACTTAGGTGTCATAAGACAGACTCAGAGTGCTTGGAGGACCGAGGCAAGGGTGATGTGTATATGGGCGAGTTAGTGTATGAAGTCTTAGGGTTTGCCTGGGTGAAGCCCTTTTTATACCTTGGAGAGTGTGAGTGTGCCATTCAAACCTCCCTCCTTGGGCAGTTGGGTGCCATGGAAGGTTTTCACTATGATCCATCTGTGCTCTGGGAAGATGAACCTGGCAGGAGGATGCTGGGTAGTCAGTAGGCCAGGAGTGTGGAGGGGTCCAGAAAGAGCCTTACCGATGTCCTGCTCCTGGTTGTACATCTTCTTTGCCAAACCCCACTCCATGTGGCCACAGCAGCTCACAGCTATAAAAATGTGTTGACCCAAGAGGTTTAATATTAACCAAAGTTATAGTCAAAGTCAATTTGGAGGATTCAAGAAAAAAAAATTTTGATGCTAATAGAGAAATAGAAGTCAATATTTATAATGTGAGTCACAGGCTCAAAATAGAAAAGTAAAACACATCACTGCTGTAGCTCCCCAAGGGCTGTGGGTTACCCAGAGCAGCACATCTGTGAACCAGGCTTGACCACCCTTCTAGGTTTATTTTAAAATTCCCCCTGTCCCCTTCCTCTAATTCTTAAATTCCAGAGTACAAAACTCACCAGATATCCAGTCCCAGTGAATTCATGGCTGTTTTTGAATGGGTCAATGGAAAAAATATTTTTTTTCTCTTAGTCACGAATAACCTTTCTCTCTAGTGACGTGACATGGAACTAACTTATCATGATTTTATTGTGTAGTCCATGATTCCACAGTGGCTCTCATTGTTTGAGACTTAATCTCTTGATCTCTATTTCAGAGAAGACAGAGGAGAAGAGAAGGCAAAGTAGAGGAGTAGGAAGCAGAGATATTCGGAATGATGTACGTCCTTCGGTTTTTGTCAAAGATGTGATAGATCAGTACCACATGGGGACACGCCGTTCACTGAGGATCTGTGATAAGTAGAGGAGCATTGAGAATTTTCCTAGAGAAGATGATATCTGTGAGAGTTAAGGATGTGGCTTTGCTGTGGCTCTGATAGCAGTTCGGACTCTGAGGCTTAAAGGGCACTTTGTGGAGAGAGTTGGGAAAACAAGAGGATTGATAAAGATAAAGGATTGACAGGCAGACCACAGCAAGCACTCTCTGAGAGCAGGAGACTACAAGGTGGAAGAAAGGTTAAAATTAGCTGCACTTCACCCAGTGTACCGGGGTGCCAAGGGACCAGATAGCATCATCAGTGCCCAGAAGAAGAACAATTCTTCAAAATCGAGTCTTCAGGGGCAAGGAAGGTTTGATGTTGTCTGCAAGATACAACCCAGCCCATCTTTTGAGTGACTCCTCTGGGAGGCCTGAGAAATTGTAATATTTAGTTATCTTCTTTGTAAGCCCAGTTTGCAAAGTTCTGCTTGGACAATGTCTGCTCCAAAGAGTGGCTCATGTTCCCTGGTGATGAGACTAATGATCAGAAAAATAAGAACAAGGAAACGGCAATGATGGCTGGAGTAGAAGCGTGGTTGACAGCAGCTGATGAGCTGCACTGGACAAGGAGCTCCACAACTCAATCTTGGAGCTGGTCCTTTTCCTTACTTTTTAATACAGGCCTGGTCAAGATCACGCAGTTTGTTTTAAGTCACCGATCCCTGACCTGGCATCTGCTTCCTCATCAGCACCACAGTCATAACCCCTTCTCCCTCCCAGCACATTTGGAGAAATAATTACTGCTTAGGAGACGTTTTGAGATCACTGATAAAAGACACTGTACCTTCCCAGGGTGTTATTACATGATTTTATTTTCCTCTTCATAGTCAGGATCAAGTCTGTAATAATTTAGAAATGAGACAAATTAGTAAAATATGTAAGATGAAAATCACCTGGCCAGTTGGATTTTTCTTTGCACTTGATTTGTATGAACAAAAAGTGGCACTGAGCTACCTCTTAGAAAACCTTAATTACCTTCAAATCAACTATTAGCTCGCATTTCATGACTGTTCTTAGAATGCTTCTTAAATGGTAAATTATTATGAACAAGGCATCCGCTCACATTGTCCATCAAAATGCAGCTGGTACCTAGTCTCAGAAATGCCCAAGCTATGCATGACCTTTTGCAGATTTGTCTATGTTTCTCTAGAAGATTGTGTATCTCTTTGAATAGCAGACAGGATGTAAAACAACTGATAATTTTGGTTGATTGTACTCATGTGAAATTTGGATTGTCACCAACACCCTCTGGGATAGGATCCTCCTCTTACAAAGCTCAGAACTATGATGCATGTGAGACACAGATTAAGAGGGCCTTTTCCCCGCAAGGAAGAGGCACGAGCCTAAAAGCCTGCCTGGTTATTACGGGAGACTGCCATCAGATCTTTTGAAAGAAAGGTGGAGATGACCAAAGGGCAGAAGGTCACCTACGTAATAAGATCCATGTGAGACATTAATTAAAATGGAATGCTGAGGATACAAATGTCCTGACCACGTAATTCGCAATAAATTCACTTTGAATTCATCTTTATTATCCTTGAAATTTGCTAAAAGGCTACATCTCATTTCATTTAGAATTCTTTACACTTAAGCTTAAGGACAAAACTTAGAGGACAAGAAAATGTCTTGAAATGAATATAAAATGTACACATCTATATTTTTCTGATGGAATAATTTATCCCCTTTTTGTTATATTTCTAACATGGTCTGACCCTTAGAAACCACTGCACAATGGAATTAGAATAATCCTATGTTTTTGAGCAAACATGTAAGTGAAATGCATATTTGATATAGATTTATCTTTTATGTGTACACAAAGCATATTATTTTCAGATAATAATTATGTTTTATTTGATGCCCTCTTTTTTTTATTGTGCTGAAATCTTCCTCCTATCACAACTGCTCAACTAAAGTCTAAAGGTGCAGACAAAGCATGTGACCTTGTATCCACTTATATGTATATTCAAAAAGCATCCTAGCTTTGTTACTCACAGGCTTTCTTAACAGGGAGCAAAGATCATCTCTTGGAAGTCAGCCTATAATAGGGGACAAAGGGTCAATGTCAAGGTGGGGCTGAACTCTCGTATTCTCATCAGTTTCCATTTTCCATTCTGTACCCCATACAACAAGCAGCATAGTCATTTTAGCCAAAGCACAGGCATGAGGGGAACAAACAGGTAGTATAGGCTGATATCATGGATTCTGGAACAGGGCAGAGACATTCAGAGCAAGCTGAAAAGGCTCGTAAATTCTTAGTTAATACAAATCTGCAGGAAGGCACAGAATAAACACCAATGCAGGATGTAGAGAGAGGAAGTGGGGGGTCCCTTCTTCACGCAGGAAATGGACTAAATGTCTTTGCAAAGCCTAAGTTTCAAACTGTCTTTCTATTATGTCAACAGTGACTGTGTTGTATGACTCTGTACCAGGGAATGCCCCTGGCCATGTCCTGAGTGGACAAAGGTTAGCTAAGGCATATTAAATATCTGTTTTGGAGAACAGAGAAACTGGGATTGGACAGGGCAAGAATCTTAGAGACCACCTTGTGCATTAACCTGACTATAAAAGCAACAGTGAACGGAAGAATTCAAGATGCACCCAGGGAGGTTTGGAAGAAGAAGATTTAGGCAGGGAAGTGCCAGTACCTTGTCATTCTGGTTTAATATAAAACCCAGAAGTTCTCAAAGCATAGGTCTTTGAGGAAAAGACTGGAAAACTGAGGAGCATAAAAGACTTGCAAGAGATTCTATCATGTTTAAGATGCACAGTCTACTCATCCCCCTCTGCAGGCAGTGAAACTTCTCTTAGGTATCTATTGAGTGTGGGTGTTTCTACAGACTGTAGGCTGGAGCAGCTGGTGGGGTTATTGTGATCAGCTCCTGCTGCCCATTCAACTAGTTCATATGTGCATTGCTAAGGGGGAGAGAAAGGAGCAACCCACCCCCACCAGCTGGACATGCTCCTTCATGGGACAAAAAGATAAAATACAATTCCTACTTGCAAATACTTACTCATTTTGGGTTGTATTTTATTATTTGTTTCATTTCAAAGTTGCCCCTGCTGTCAATTTTTACAGGTCTCATCTAGCCACAGCAACGGACAGACACAAAAGTTCTCCCCGGCTGCTGTTCTAGGCCCTGCTGGCCCCTGGACCAATCTGATTGTGTATTCTACAGCTCTGCTTTCTGGCATAGGAATGCACAAATACTCAGAGTTTTTATATTGTATTCTGACCCTCATACATCCTTTAATAAGCAAAAGATTTATCTTCAGGGACTTGGATTAAAAATATAGTTACATATTCAACAAGAATTCATCATGTCTCTATTTTACAGATCCCCAAGGTGAACCAATTTTGGGTGAACCATGTTTGCCTGGACAGTGTGGTGGTTTTTCATGTATCTCCATGACTTGTATTGAATTTTTCAGGGGTACGTAAATTAATGAAAGTGCTCATTTGCATCATTCATTCAATTCCTAAAAAGCAGGAGATAGGGAAGAGAAGAAAGGGAGAGCAAAAAGATTCTCTACAAGCCAGTCTTTCCAGCTGTTCTTTAACTAAAACCATAAAGAATGAAGTGAGGCTTAATTCAGACACTTCTTGCAGCATTGTGCTTATGCTTAGGACACTCTGGGGTTGTAAAGGTGCTGGTATTGTCCCTTTTAGAATTTAGTGCAATTCTATTAGGATCCAGTTTAACCTATCAAACAGCCACAAATCAGGAGCAATTTATCTTCCTAATCTAAGGTAGAAGGATTTTACACAGATTAAAAAGGGTTAAAGTTTCAAGGCAATTGCTAATAATCCTTTGTTGGGAAAAGTCCTCTTAATCTGATGTTTCCTCACATTCCAGTCATACCTCATGCTGGAGGAACTAGGAGATTTCCTGATCTCTTCTGTATGAATTAATGATTTGTTAAAGGTAAGAATGTTAACTTAGTTGATTACGCAAAACTGACTGATAAGGTAGCAGACAGGTTAATCTGCTACTTTTCTAACCTCTCCCAGAGAACTTGAACCAAAGCCTCCTAATCCATGGGTGTCTTGACTGAACTCCTCACACATGGCTAAGAATTTATGAAGGAAACAAGAATTTCGTTCCTGTGTTACCTTTGTTCCATCATTTCATTCTAGGGCAGTAGCCCTAATTTTTCATAACCTAATGCTTTCCTCAGTGACCAATGGAGATGTCACAATTGGGATATTTTGATCTCAGATAGAAAAAAAATGTGGGAAGATAGGCCCTATCTACACTGAAAAATAAGGTTTAGCACTATGGGCAAGGAGTTAAAACATTCTAGTTTTAACTCACACATCAACTATTATCAGGTGATATCAGGGAGATAAATTTCCAGGGTTCTTTTTTCCCTCATTTCCTGATTTCTTATAGGCACCTCCTGCAGGAACCCTGCAACTCCAGATTTAGAAGTGACCTTCAAGGGCATAGTCTTTCCTTTGCCTATAGGGAAATCTTTGCAGAAATCCAGATCTTTGGTCTGGAAGCTTATTTATATGCATTCTGAAGAAGGTGTTAATTCTCTGAGATAAGCCAATAGAGGAATTGCTTATATATGCATTTCATTTTGCATACATTTTGTTTCAGGAAATAAGAAAAAAAAAAGAAATTGGTGCATTGAAATGGTATCAATTGCATTCAAGTGTTACTTGGCATTTAAAAAATCAAAAGTTGTTCCTCGACAATAAAATAGCCCTGTAGGATGGCATATAACATGTCATCTGCAGTATGCAGTATGATTCTATCTTACATTAGAATTTTTAAAAAAATAATCAGTAGTAAGAAATAAGTATAACATTTAGATAATATATATCAAAGATAGGCATTCAAGGATGATTTATAGCTCTGATAAATGTTCAGGGCATTCCAAATGATCTAAACTTCTTCTCTGTTTAGGTTTTATTATATTCAAAACACACACATATGTGTCTGCTTTCTTCATTTATTAGGAAAAACATATATTTTTTAATTTAATTGAGTGAAATATTCATGGCAAGTGAATGCAGACTTGAACTGTGGGTTGAGTGGGAAAGTTTAAGGATTACCAACTAAAACATAGCATTAATAACAAGCATGAAAATACTTTAGCATTGCAGACCAGAGAAAGCTGAGTGGAATTTAAAAATAGTGACAATCCTATAAAAAGACCCTGATAATTATTTAGCATCATGTCTGAAAAACAGATATCAGTAAAAAAAAAATTATTGAACTTCTATGCATAAGCGAATATTGTACAGCATAACTGACAGTTAGAAAATGAGAATGATCAGATAATCTCTTTATTTAAGTCTTTTAAATCTGACTTCCTCCTAAATCCAGAGTGTGGAAGCATCCCTGTATCGGGCATCCTTGGAAGAAGTGTGGGTTAAGCCAAGCCCTAGTCCCCAGGCAAATGACATGCTAGGCCTCAGTCCTACCCAAAGGTGTCCTTAATGTCAAAGCAGAGAGGAAGTATCCAGCCAGAATTCACTCTTTTCCGGGATCTCAGATTGTGCTCCAGTGAAAACCGTCCGCAGAGTGCCTCATACTGTACAGTGCTAATTATCTAAGGTAAATAGAACTAAGTAGCATTTCATTACTTCATGATTATTAAGAAATGAATTCTCTCAACCCTAGGGCTCCTCAGAAATAGTCATTAGGCCTTGTAGATTAAATGTACGGAGACAGAACTGAAAGTCACTGTTCCAACAGTGCTCTGAGATGGTGGCAAGAGGAGGGTGCTCAGGCTGCAGGGCCAGAGGAAAGGCACTGTGTGGAGCGGGGAAAGGGGAGATCAGGGTCCAGGGAAGAGTGGCCAAGGGCAAGCAGGGAAGTTAAATGTAATGCTCAGGGCATGCATCTGTCAGCCAGCCTGGCTGAGTTTCAAAAGCCAGCTATGCAGCCTCCTGGTTATGGGGCATTAGGTGTGTACTTAACCTCTCTGATCCTCAGCTCTTCCCCTCCAAAGTTATGATAAAAATACTGCCTTCAGAGCACCGTCACAGGGAGTCAACGGCATAACGTGTGTGAATCACTTAACATAGTACCTGAGACAACTCAATAAACAGTTGTTGCTATGTCAGAATTGAATTATTATTGTTATTGTTATTAAGTGAGCTTTAAAAGCTGTCTTGTGATAAAATGCACTTATGCCCCAAAAGAGATCTATGCAATGAAGCCATTTGCTGGCATGAACGACAGCATTTATTTTATGAGCAAGTAATATTCATTAATTCATTCATTCAACCAATGTTTATTTCTTAATCACAATATTCTAGGCAGTGTTCCAGTCATTCAGGATACAAAAATAAATAAAGCAAGAGTTTTTGCCCTCAAGGAGCACCTGATCTACAGGGGAGATAGCCACACAAATAGATAACACAGTAAAATTCAGAAAATAAGATGCTATTGCAAGCTTTTAAGGGTGGGATGATAACTGGGAAGCAGCCAGATAACTGTGATGAATAGAAGTCACCCAGAGCACAAAGCGGAGAAAGAGTAATTCCATTAGTGACTTCAGCAAGATGATCTAGGCACGAGGTAGCATGGTGTGTAAAGTAAACTGTGAGGCAGGGAGAATGGGGAAGATGAGGCTGGAAAATGAGGGAGGAGCATTGTCCATGGCACCTCGGTGGCATGGGGAAAGAAGCCGCAGGCCAGCAGAGGGTGAAGGGGAAGAAACCGGTGTCAGCAACTGACGTAAACTTGAAAGCAATGGGATGAGATGAGATGCAAGCAGGGCACAGGTGACTTGGTGTGGCCTCAACAGGAGGAAGGACACTCATCAACCGGGAATGTAGAGAAAGAAGCAAGTAAAGATGGGTGTGGATGAAGATAAGTTTACAGATAGCAGAGAATGTCATACGTGCCACCTTGGTTCCACAAGGCTCCATTGTGCTGGTTTCTTTTCAGACATACGTGCGTTTTATCACAGGGATAGCTTTTTAAAGCTCATTCAGTAATATAGTTTTGTTATAAAACCGGCTGTTTATTGAGTTATCTCAGGTACTAAATGATTCTCACATTAGGATATTGAGTCCTTATGCCAATAATCTGAAGGTAATATCATCAATATTATTATAATTTAGGAAGGTTTCTATAATTTTGTTCTGCTGGAAGAGAGATCATTTACCAAGATGAGAGGGTGTGGGCATGGGCTGAACCTGAGCTTTAAGGAAGTAGTCAAAGACTGGAGAAGCAGCTCCAGAACTGAGTGGTTGAGTTCTTCAAGGTCCCAGAGGAAACTGAGCCAATGAATGTGTGAAGGTGTCAGTTGACATAACGGTGATTTTCCTATAACCATGTTCAGTTTTCTAGCTGCATGAGAAATAAGGACAGATGATGTATAGCATTGAAAGAATAGAAGTGCAAGAAATTGAGCATTTTTTAATTTGTTTTGTTCTGTTTTGGTACTGGGAATCAAACTTAGAACCTTGCCCTTGCCATGCAGGTCTTGTGCCACTGAGCTATATCCCTGTCTTGAAATTGAGTATGTTTATGAGAAAAGAATTGGGATCAGCATATAGGAGACCCAGGCAAGAGAAGACAGTGGAGACATCAAGAGCAGAGGCAGTGAAAGAACCAGCATCAGCCTAGGCAGAGTAGAATGGACTTGGAAGCACAGGAAGTCATGGGGTAGGATATCAGGGCTTAAATTCTCTGAAGCATAGCGATTCTGGGTTGTGGCCAAGTCTAGGTTGGCTCTTGGAGTGGTGGCTCTGGAGCAGAGGTGAAGTTCACTTTTACTTGTTGAAACAGGTGTAGGGCATGTGAGGGCAGATACCCAGCTGGTGGTTGTCTATGCATTTTAGACAGAAGGTAGGTTGGTAATGATAGTACTGATTCAAGTACCAGTCTTCACCAAATGACTGACACAGACCAGATCACAAGGGACAATGACAAAGGAAATAGAGGTGATGATGTAGGTTGAGTTTCAGGAAGAGTGGACTATCTCATATAAGAATGAGAAAGTACTTTTGCAATTAGAAAACTACTAGCCGTCATGATAGAGCTGAGACAATGGACACAGTTGTCCACACAATGAAGCACAATTGACTGCTTCACAAGGACACAAGGAGAGTGGACAAAGTAGCCAGAGTGGACAGTACAGGTATGGGAGGAAGACATAGTGGGGAGCTGGAATTCTCCAGCACAGCCTTGGTAAGGGTGATCTGAACACCAGAAGCTTCATCATCTCTTGGGATCATGTTAAAACTGCAGAATCTCATACCTCAACCCAGAACCCCTTAATGGAAATCAGCATTTTAACAAGATTGTTAATTAATATGTATGGTCAATTGCAATTCTAGAAGCACTATTCTAAAAATAGGGAGGATAATTAGATAAAAAGGGAAATGCTGGCTAAATTATTTCCAGTGATCCCAGCTCTTTCTCTGGATGCTCACATGAGACATTAACATTCTCCAAGGAATAATAAAATGGTACTCCCAATTCTGGGTGCAACAGCATCTTAAATGCATTTGCTTTAATTCCTTGAAGGTTTAGTGGACTTGTCTAGGATTCATTTATGCCAGGTAAGAGGGTGCTGAAAACCAAAGTTTTCTTACCTTGGTGAGGGGTGGGAATGGGTGGTAAAATGTAATTGCTTAAGTACATGGTGCTTAGAAATAGCAACGGTGGGGAATCCAAGAGACCAAGGAGCTGGGCCCCAGTTTTCTCCACCATTGTGTGTTCTAAGCATGGAAACGCATTTCCTCTTCATCCACTTCCTGCTGGCCAAAAAGCTAAGAGCAGTTGGTGCCAGGGAATGGGTAATTGTATAGCTTTTCCAGCATACTGCTCCAGATCCACATAACCACGCATGTCAAAGCCTACTTTCCTTTCCGAACATTCAGCAGTGACCAAAGGGGCTGGCGGAAGTGGGAAAAATACCGTGAAAAATCCTGGGCTGCACCTCAGAGACTCAT